CGAAGAGGCGGCTTTCTTGTGTAAAAAAAAAAAAGTGATAATAAAAGGTGAAGGCTGGCGGCCGGCGGCGGCTACACGGGCCACACGACGAGGTCTGGCAGGCCGGATTCGGCCCGCGGGCCTTGTGTTTGACACCCGTGGCTTAGGCAATCCAGCCAATGTGATCCCCTCCCAAAGGAATTGCAGGGAGTGTGACTCTCAGGTGCCATAGCTCAAGCCCAGATTAGGGTGGCGACTTGCCTCAAGTATTGCGGTTGTGTTAGCTTAGTTGTGGTTAGAATTATTTAGCTATTTCCAACAAAACAAAGAAGTGTATGTACCGTCTTTTTTGCTCCATAAGACACACTTTTTTCTTTCTAAAAAGTAAGGGGAAATGTCTGTGCATCTTATGGAGCGAATGTGTGGTCCCTGGAGCCGAATTGCCCAGGGGTAAAAAGCAGATCCTCAGGATTTTTGCATTGGGTCACCCCAAATTCACCATCAAATCACATAGCATGTCCATGGCTACAGCCTGCACCAAAAACACACACGCATCCACTGTTTTGTGGGGCCGCAATGGTGCAAAAACGTGGTTACAAAGCACGAATACACATGGATTCTAAGGATTTTTGCATTGGGCTACCCCAAACTCACTGTCAAATCACATGTCTGTGGCCACGGCATGAACCACAAAAATCATACATCCACTGTTTCGTTCAGAATATATTTTTTTCTTGTTTCCCTCTAAAAACTAGGTGCGTCTTATGGAGCGAAAAATACGGTATACTGTTGATGAGAACTGCTGGGATTGATGTCAGTGGTTGCTAGCCATTCAACCACTGCCCACTTCCACTATGTTGACAGGCTGAGGTGGTGGTCTCTGCCTCTTTGCTGCTGCCCTCCCAATACTTACTAGTGAGGGAAAACTTTGCTCACCTTCTGGTGCCCTATAGCGGTAGCTGGCGATTCCTGCCAGCAAAATATCTCACCAGCTGCCTCTACTGCTTCCTTATGCTGTGTTACTTATTTAACATCGTGCATCGAGTCAAAGCCTAGGTAATACCTTCTAATAAGCTCATCTTAACCTAAAATTTTAAAAGAAATGGTAAGTGATGTGCAGGAAAATACTCAAGGATAAGCAGATTATTTTAAATAAAATTTGAATCTATTTTCTCAATACCTGTTTCACATTTTTTTAAAAAAATACTGCTATTCACTTTCCATCTTGAAGAGGAAGGGAAGGATACAAATATGGTAAAATCTTAAAGAAACATTCCTGCTTTCGTGGTTGCAGAGTAAAACTGCTAGATGTATATACCAGTATCTAAAAAGTACTGAATGCAATAAGACAAAAATAATCAAGTTTAGAACATGCATTGTTTCTAAATTCATCTCATGCTTCTGAGAAGTCGCCCTATCCATCTGAACATATGAGGTTAACGACTCCAGAGATTTTGCTCATGCTAGATGGAAAACTTCACTGGTGTGAGAAGACTTGTCACACCTCCCATTGTGCCAAAAAACCTGAAATACTGCGAAAGGCAAAGGATTTGCTTCCTAAAAGGCATCACAGAAGGTGTGCAACTTATTTACCAGCCTTGGCATTGCTGCTACTTTGCTCACATAGATTTTATGCCAAGTATATAAGCACTCAGAATAACACAAGATACTTTTAAGAGTTCTTAGAAAATAGCTTGGGGAAATGAACAATGGACTACGATGCTTTACAGCATAATATAGCATAGCATAACATAACATATTACACATCCATTTTGTATTTGCTAGAAATGTTCTTTCTGCTCATAGCTAAAAATTATTTGATATTCCTTTAACTGAAGATTGCGTTGATGTGATCCCCATATGGATTAAAGATACAATCATATGAATTCTTACTTAGGCGTGAATCAAGCTAAACTCAGAGGGCATGCTTCCAAGTCAACATGCATGCCATACATTGCATGGAGTTGAGCTGCAAAGAATTAAGCTTGTCCCCCCCCTCCCATCTAGTGTATTATCTTTTACTACTTTGTAACATATCTCAACTATATGAGCTTGGCGGCCTGAGAATGAGCACAGGTGTTCAGGTACTATGTAATCCAATTAAAATGTTTAAAAGGAAGTTCTTTTTCTGTTGCCACAGAAGTTACACTTAACAGGCTTATAGTAATTAGGCAGCCTGGAAAGTTGCTTTGCACTTAGAAGTTTGCTGCCAGGAATATAACGAGAGACAAGCACTGCTGTCCTTGTGTGTCCCGCAGCTGTTGTGGCTTTTTCCATCTGAGAGCAAAAACAGTTGCCTCGAGCATTTCAGAGGCATGCAAGCACACAGAAAGTGTTCATTAGTATTGGACATGAATTTTCAGTTATTGGAAGCAGATGGTTAATCCACATGGTGAGCGAGTCTTAAACCAAATCCACGGAAGACTATGGACAATAATAATACAACCAAAGACACATTAACACTCTATGGCCCTGATTAAAATTTATACATGCAGAACCTAGATACTCTGAATGCCACCAATCAGCTATTTGATGAGGAGATAAAGGAGGTGGGAAGAGAATAAATCCAGTCCCCATACTGTTTTCTTTACAGCTGATAATATTGGGAATATCTAACTGAGCTACAAACATGCAGCTGCAACTACTGGATCAAGACAGGAAATCATCTGTGCAGCATTCATTCGCATGAGGGATTTCCAATTCAAATAAGAGGTGCTTAGTAGAATTAATTCTCACAAATGTGAGGTAATAATAGTAATAATCCTCAGGTATATTTCTATGTAACTACATCATCCTGAATGGATGCTACAACCTATAGGTGGAGGTGGAGTGGAATACAAAGGCTATTATGAAATAAACATGCATTGTCGACACTCACAGTTCTATGACCTTACACATAAGATTCTTAATCAGAAAAGGAACTCTCTCCTAGATTTTTCCGAATGTTGACTGTGGAGAGTATTGCAGTTGGCTTTGACCTATAAAGCCTCATATCACTCAGGACCACAATATCTCAAGGACCGCCGCTCCCCATATGAACTGACCCAGACTTTGCAATCATCATCTCAAGGCCCTTCTTTGTGTACCTCCTTGCAAGAGGTTTGGAGGTCAGCAACACGAGATTGGGCTTTTTCTGTGGCGGCTCCCTGCTTGTGGAATGCTCTCCCCATTCAAATCCCTTACCCTGTCACAGGGTGTAAGTGGTTTGAGGATTGCAGCCCAAGTCAAAATACTATTTGGCAATTGCTCTAGTAGTAATGCCAAAAAAAGGCTAACCACACTATAGCATACAAGCAATAGGTAAAAGGTGTTTTATATGTAAAATACCATCCAAGAAGAGGAAAAAGTAAAGAAAGTTTCTGTTACTTAGAAACCATTATTTATTAAATCTTTCTCTTTTAACACTAAAGGCTGGAAATAACATAATACTTCTGGAATCCTGCGAAACCCAACCACAATAAGTATTAAGGAAACAATATTTTGGCTGAACAACTTAGAACATTTTGGAGTTTCTAAGCAATATTAGGGTGGCCTTGCTTGATCCAAGATTCTTCACAGTGGTGTGATTTTCCACATGCATCCACTTAGCATGTTGAAACATTGTACTGTTACAGCTGCAGAGATTTCTTACTACATCAAACCAGCTTTACTTATCCTTTCCTGGAACTGAGTTTCACTAGAATTCTTGAGATCACACAACAGTTTTATTACTGTATCCCTGTGTCTTATCCCATTGCAACACAATTCACCATTGTATATACAGCGTTTTGAATACGATAACGCCTGGGGCCCATTCAAGGCAATCAGATTCCTTTATGGAGCTCTTCTGGTACACAGCCAGCGTTCCTAAGTGGAAATTTGTAAATATGTTTTTGGCACCTTTTATTCGTCAGAAGGTTCATCACTTCACTGCTTATTTAAATTGGTCTCGTGTTCTGTGATCCAAAGTGTGGTTCACATTGCTGTCTGTGAGGCAGAAAATTCACCTAAAAACTCCAGGAGCTGCTACTGAGTTACTCACTTGAGATCTGCATGTGTATTGCTGAGTTTCAGGTTGCTGTTTTTAACTCTGCTCTTCAATTGACCAGGATCTCCTCCTTCCAGCCTTAGCAATGCCTCTCTTCAAAGGCATCCCCATGACACATTACAGCTGTCTAGACAATATGTTAACAGTTCATTGACAAGTTGTGCAAGTGAAGCTGAGGCTGGCACAGCTGCTCCAGTGGTGAAAGGTTCTTCATGCCATAGAAGCTTCTTGACAATTTATGGAGGGTAAGACTATCCGCGGGTGGCACTGTGGGTTAAACCACAGAGCCTAGGACTTGCTGATCAGAGGGTCGGTGGCTCGAATCCCCACGACGGGTTCAGTCCCTGCTCCTGCCAACCTAGCAGTTCCAAAGCACGTCAAAGTGCAAGTAGATAAATAGGTACCGCTCCAGCGAGAAGGTAAATGGTGTTTTCTTCCGCTGCTCTGGTTTGCCAGAAGCGGCTTAGTCATGCAGGCCACATGACCCGGAAGCTGTACGCCGGCTCCCTCGGCCAATAAAGCAAGATGAGCGCTGCAACCCCAGAGTCGGCCACGACTGGACCTAATGGTCAGGGGTCCCTTTACCTTTAAGACTATCCAATCCAGGAGTCAGCAAACTTTTTCAGCAAGGGGCTGGTCCCTCAGACCTTGTGGGAGGGCCGGACTGTATTTTTGGGGGGCGGGCAAAAGAACGAATTCCTTTGCCCCACAAATAACCCAGAGATGCATTTTAAATAAAAGGACACATTCTACTCATGTAAAAACACGCTGGTTCCCGGACCGTCCACGGGCCGGATTTAGAAGCCGATTCCGGATCCACGGGCCGGATTTAGAAGCCGATCCCGGATCCGGCCCCCGGGCCTTAGTTTGCCTACCCATGATCCAATCCATAGCTACTACTAATGATGGCTATGTACTATGCTCAAGTCCCATTTGTGGGCTTCCCATAGGCATCTGGTTGGCCACTTTAGGAACAGAATCCTGAACCGGACAGGCCTTTGGTCTGACCCAGGCGATAGAGCATGAGACTCTTAATCTCAGGTTCATGGGTTTGAGCCCCACATTGGGCAAAAGATTTCTGCACTGCAGGGAGTCGGAACAGATGATCTTCGTGGCCCCTTCCAACTCTACAATTTTGATTCAGGTTCTCTTCTTGTGTTCTTAAATTTCAGCTCTGTATCTGCTGAAGTAGCTTAACGATTTTGATATCCTCCCCTTGAGGCCTCTGCAAACACAGCTTGCATTCCATCCAAGTATGGGAAGGCAGAAGTCATGATGCTGGGGGCGTGTCTTGGCTGAAGTCCTTTGAATGCTGCATGCTATTATGAAAGATTTAACACACTGTTGTTTTGATCATAAGAAACAAAAATGTTGAGCCTTTTCTAGGAATCAAGGTGTCTTGTACTGTATTGTGTGCCAAATCTCTAACTGTTGGCGGGAGTAGCAAAGCAATGTTGGTTTCGTAAGTGCCCGGCCAACCATGCTCTCTACTTCAGAAAACCCTCTGGAGACTGAAGGCACCTGTCGTCCTCTGTATTCTCTGCATCTGCACTTTGTCTCAACACAAACTACTGCTCCCTCACTCCCAATTCAATCTCCCAATTTTCCAGGAATATGGTTCCCATGTCAATAACTTGCCTTGCTATGGCAGGTAAGTGCTCTGTTGTAGGAATACATTCACGGGAGTTGGAGCAGGCTCTCTCTTTCTGGGGCTAATTTTCACGTCTGACAGAATAAAATGATATGCTCCAATGAATCACCCATCTATGATCCACTTCTCTGTTCTCTGTCCTTCTGCGCTGAATGTTCAAGGGTGCTGGAAGATAGGGAAAACCCACCGGTCACAATGGGTTACTTTGTCATGGCCCCAGACAACGCTCCTCAGAGGCAGAGTCTTCTGGATACTGCAGCTCTGAAGAAGAGATGGTTTCACTCCCTGGTCCATCCCAGCTTTCCTTGATGTCATAGTTTCGTTGTTGAGCTCAGTGGAGTGAGAGACCAGCCAACTAGAAGAGTCTCTGAGGTGTACTTGCTTAGAGGCAGTCAGCATCCAAAATCAGGTCAAGACCTAGGGTTGGGTGAACATCACTCCATGAGGTCAGGTGGTCCAGGGGTCAGGGAATCCGATAAGCATGGGGTCTCGGGTCAAAACAAGCAGGAAGAAGCAAGGAAGGGCCAGGAACTTCTTGCATTGTTACCAGCATTTTGCTGCTGCTGGAAGCTCTGCTTAAGAAGGCTGAAGCCAGCTGGTTCTCATCAGCACCTTCTCCTCTGTGTCCCTGAAGGCTGATCAGCTGCAGATGGAGTCACTCCACCTTCTCCCCCTTCAGGCTGCTGTTCAGCAGGCGAAGGTGACTCCTGGCCCATGACACGAGCTCTGATGAGACACCTCTGCCACTGGAATCTGGTGGCTGATCCACAGACTCCTCAGGATCATGAGAACCCTGTGCAAGGTTCCCTAGAAGTGGAAACACAATTACTCCCAAAGAAGTCAATGGCTGCAGCAGAAGACCCTGGCTCTTTAAGTAGCTGGGAGGCAGCACTCAGTGGGTGGACGGCTGACAAGGCCACCTCTTGTCATTTTAGTTCTCTAAAGCCTCTTTCTACTGGGCCATTTTGGCCTGACAAGTTTGTAGAGTGGGAGAGAGGCATCACTTCTGGGATAGGCCACCTGGGTAAGGTCAGGAACCAAATCAGTCCCCATATTGGGCCGGGGCAGGGTTTTTTTCACAGAGTTCCCTTGCAACACTATTTCAAGCTTTGCTAGATGCCCATAGAGAGAACAGGTAGATTTCATGCTCCTAAACTTTAGATGCTCATTCCACCTGGGCTCTGACCCAGGAAAGCTTATGCAACCATATTTTGGATTTGTTAAGGTGTTTTGCCACAAGTAGACTGCCTGGCCTTAACTGCAAATAGTTTGCGTGCCAGATAAAAATGTGGCAGGTAAAGATTAGCTGATATCTTAACTGCTTCTATTTTCCTTCCTCCTCTTTCTGTTTTGTCTTATGCGGGATGTAGGCTCTTTTAAAGCGTTGCCAGAATTAAACGAAGGGAGCCTGTCTAAAGTAATGTAGCATCCTATAACAAAGATCTGCATTGGTGTTGTATGTGTGGGGGACTGTCAAAAGTCAAATTTAAGAGGTAAGTTTATGACCAACAAACTTAGGGGTGTGGGAAGGCAAAGAAATAACTGAAAGTGAGCCACATGAAGTACTTTCTTAAGCCAGCAACAGTTGTTGAGCTGCCCTGTCTTCTTGTACTATAATAAAAAGGTTGTGGCTTTTCTTAAATATAACCAAATGGAGCCTGCCTGGCAGAATTGTTGAAGTAGATTCAAAGTTCCATCATACTTAAGTGCCTGATTATGTAAGTGCTCAGTGCCCACTTTGTTCCCACGGTAAATGAAACAGAGCAAATGAAGAGATACCTTTGTCGGGCTCTAACAGGCCCTGGTGTGGACACTAATTAGCCTCAGTTCCGAATGCATATATATCAGGCAATCCTATTTACCGAAAACTGAATGTTTTATTTTAAACCACATAGATCTTTGTGAAATGCTGATGGTGCTGCTGTACTAAATGATTGTGGAAAAACAAATAAGCATCGTTGTATTCAGGATCCTTAGCAGGATACAGTCAATCAACTACACTGCACATTTTAAAGTGCCTGACAAAACAAGAGATAAGCTTACAATTATTTAATGTTTCAGCTTCCGCCTGAGCTATTAAGATTTCAAAAGTGGAACCAGGAGCCAAAGTGATAATTGCCCAAGAAGCTCTGAGCTCTAGAATACAAAATTGCTCATCGGAACCCATTGTTTTCGTTATTTCTTTTTTATTAAGATTACTATTAGATTTTCATAACTTTAACTAATTAATTTCAGACTTCAAACCTGTTATACATTTCTCTTTCAATTTGGCTTTCCACCTTCCCTTCCATGCTCTTTTTATACCCATCCCTGCACATTTCACCTCTATTTCATATTCCTCTATTACATAACACATTTAATCTAATATACATTCCTCTTTTTCTTATATTATCATTTCTTCCTGCTGTTCAAATTTCAAATCCCGCCCGCAATTTCATTTGGTTATGATATTTTATCTGTTGACATCTTTATGCATAGTTTTTAAGGTTTTATACATTTTGTATATCGAGACTCGTATCTTTTTAATATGGAATTAGCTACTGTGAGATCCCTTTGGGTCAGTGGAATAATTTTTTTAAAGGATATAATAGTAATGTTTCAGATTGTATACATGGAATGATGGGCTACTAGCAAAAAAGGGCAGTAGGCAGAATAATGTAACCACAAAGCTGAAACTCTTGTTTGCTTTCTGTTTTGTTTTTACTATTCATGGAAAAGCTGATGTGTGAAGAGAAAACCACTGGGATACATTAAAACTCCTTGCTAATGTTCTCGGCGCTGTGTTCTGGGAAGGGAATAACATTCTGCAATAATTGAATCATGCAGGGCTCTATGCAGCAGATACCCTTAGGTGATTATGTTCAGAACAGAAGCTCTCAGAATGTCATTTAGCAAATGAAAATAGAGCTGGATACCAGTAATAAACCAGTGCCCCCAAGCTATAGATTTTCTAGGGTAATTTAATTGAAGCACACAAACAGTTTGTGCTTTCTGCCTATGAGAGGGGGCAGCACTGATGCACAAATGATTGATTCTGAGGTCCAGCCAACAAAACGGAATTTCTATTTTACCAGAAAATTATGCACTGATCCAATTTGCTTACTATCTCCAAGTCAAGTCAGTACATCTGTCTGTCTAGGATGGATCCCCAAGGGTAAACTCACTTACTGGCTACATCCAGGGTTTTTTTTTTTCATGCTGGAACACAGTTCCAGCACCTCTCCAGTGGGTGCCATTGCAGGCCAGTTTCTTGGTGATGATAGTGCTGCTTGTTTACAAAAACCTCAGCCTCCAATCGGCAAGAGCAATGGAGCAACGCATGCACAGCAGCAGCAGCAGCAGCAGCGGGGTGGGGGCACTCTAGCTGCCTTATAATGTAGAGAAGCAACGGTCAAGGCTTGCCCTTCTGAGGGTGCCTGTGCAGCACAGGCCAGGCTGATGCCTAGGCACTTGCTCAGAGGCTGGAAGGTGAAGGTGGCAGGGGCCGGATGCCACTGCCATGGTTGTGCCCAACATGGGGATCTGTGCTGCACAGCACTGCCTGCCAAGTATCACTGATTGGGAGGCTTCATGCGGTGAGTCGGCCGCAAAGAAACGAGGGTATAAAACAGCAGGATTTCAAGTTGCAGCCCACAAATGTATGTGCACATCTTGCTCCCTGTAAATGAGCGAGGGAAACAATATGAATCTCCCTATAAGATGGTGCAGCCCGGCATCTTGTCACATGGTTTTGGTTTCAAGATGCCGGTGGCATCTGGACTGGCGACTGAGGCGGTGAGTTTCAGCACTTTCCCCCTAGTATATCAGTATAAACCCCAAGGCAATTTGGTGCAGGAATTACACCCCTCCCCAAAAAAAAGCTTCATGAAGCAAAAAAGAAAGTGCATGGTGAGGTTAAGCTCTAGAACACGGGATAAAAAGACCTCTGAAAAATCAGACCAAATGTCTTTTTCTTCTGGCACTTTTTCCCTAGAGAGATCATAGGTGCAGTGTCCACATGTTACATAGGTCTTGGAAGTGTTGGGTCAGGATTCAAATGGCCACTTTCTGACCAAAAGCAGTTCTTGTGCAATTGCATTTTTGATTTAGGAATTATTTTTCAATAGAGAGAACAGGACAGTAGAGAGGGGGGAAGGAGACAATAGTCCTATCACTGCTATATGGTATAGAATCCAAACTTAACCATGGCTGACACATGTCAACACTGGTCTTGCCATAATTCATGCTAGCTAGATTTCTGGTTCAGTGAGTTTCGAAGGCAGGTTTCCCAAACCCTTGGTAACTTTCACGGTGACTGTAGTCAAGGGAGGTGGAAACTCATACTGGAAAGGCCACAGCAAAGGGAAAGCAGTGTATAATTCCACAAGGCAACTCTGATTTTGTTAAGAGCCTGACTGCATTTTGCCTGCAGTGGCCTAG